TGGGATAAAACAGAAGATTTAAAAATTAAAAATTAAAGAAAATTTAAGGAGGAATAGAACAGGACTTCCTCTAATTTCAAATAACTTTGCCAATAACTACTTGCATATGGCACCAACATTAGATAAGTTAAAACAAAGTATAATGAATTTAATGTGTTGTTTCATTACTTATATTAACTTTTTTTAGAAGTTTAAAAGTTGGTTTTCTTTGTACATACAATATGCAGTATTATGTACGCACTGCTCCAATATAAAACATATTAATTCAATTGATTCTGGACTCTAACTCTAGTTCACACAGACTGACACTAGTTGCCCAGCTCGTACCAAAACACATTTGTGCTTTAAGTCACACTAATGGAAAGGGGAAGTTCAATTATAATTTATATTTCACAAAGAGAGGAAGCCCCGCACAAGGCAGGGCATCAAAAAATTAGGTTGAACTCATATTGTTCCTCTCCACGGAAATCTTTAGTAAAAGGCGAAAGATTTATACGATCTGAAGAGAAACATGAGTGTACTGACCCTTCAGAGGAACTGTCGAACGGGCCATTCTCCGACATACACTCTACAGTAATGGTGGCACTCCGCCGTTTCAACTTTTATTTTTAATTGTGTATGATCAAAATAGAGTAAGACACACATACGTATCAAACAATTTGCATTTAGTGACGCAAATTTTTATTAAAGATTTATATGAACTAAACGATAGCGTTGGACGACATAAAGTTGGCGCGCGGTGCATGGCGGGTAGCGCTGCGTTGCTACAGGTTACAAATGGTTACAAATCGCACTTGGAGAGTTTTGCTAGCGTTTAAAGTTAACTGAATAAAAAATAATTGTTAAGAAATGCTTTAACACGAGTATCTGTCTAATTAAAAACATCGGAATACAGTCAAAAGGGGATAAATTAAAGGTCTAGAAACTGTACGCATGCGCGGTGCTCACAAGGAGTTGAAACAAAAGGAGAGGATTACCTCCCCCTACTTCCGTCTTCGCACAGGAAGCCTCTCAGTACAAAGAGTTGGTCCCGGTCGTCGTGAAGTGTTAAAATCTGTGAGGTTTTCTTAGATTTCCCGTTAAAATAAAGTATTATTCCAAAAACAACTGTCTACGAAGCAGTTTAGCCGTCAAAACGGATCCAAAAGAGGAGACTTGAAGAGTACGCAATCATCGATAGTTCACAGCAACAAGTTTTTAAGATATATATAGTTAGCTTGTACTTCATATACTTATACACAAAATAATGAACATATATTTATTTGTACTCCATTTTTGTTGTTGCTTAATCTAATTCAAACTCAAAATATGGTTGATGGCCCTAGGTTTACTTTGTGTCAAGTGGACCACTAAAGCATATTACTAACTGAAACTAGTGACCTAATCTTGATTCCTTATTTTTGAGGGGTCCTGGTATCAAAATCTAGTTTTAAGCCCTTTATAAATGTAGTTTTGTGCTTATATTGCATGTCCCTATAGTAAATTAGTTCCAGCATGGATAAACATGTTGCATGGAGTGTTAGGAACAGGGAGTTTAATAGTTTAATAGTGGCCCAGCAGGACGTTTTTGTCCTAGGACCTCAAGCGGGTCATTGGTGTATACAGAAAATCATTCTCAAATCAAGGCTGAGGTTGTACTGGAAAACAGATGGCCTCATAAGTTACAATTCTTCATAAGACACTGCTGAACAATGTCGGGTGTCTTATAGACAAAGTGTAACTGCAGTGAAATCAAACAGACTGCACCAGTTTTCTCTAGCTCTTCAAATAAAGGAATGGCTTCAGGCGTGTTTCTGATTCACAATAATTGTCCCAGTTATCTTCATGGTGCTGATGACGTTCACATGCAGTGAAGTCTCGACCTGAAAGCACATTGCAAGCCTATAAATGTCCTTATATACACATGAAACATTTTGTTTTCTCACAACTAGAGCTACTTGGGAAAATAACTGAAACTGCAAATGGTTGGTGCCTCATGTAGTGGTTGTGAACAATACCTTGAAGTTTCAGGATCAACACTTCTAGATTAGACTTTTGATTTCACTTCCCTACCTGACATTTTGCACGGTCCAACAATTTCTTACTTTTTTCTCATAAAAAAAAAAGGCGCAGAGTTCAAGTTAACTTCAAACATAAATGAGGTTTATTCATGGTAATGCCGCACATTCTTTGTATAATCTGAAAAATTACAAAAGTGATATGGCAATATGGTTACCATCAGAATTTCCTAATTCCAATTTTCTTTACCACAGTACATAATGTATGTCACAATCAGAAAGTTAGAAGTACAACAGACAAATGGCAGTTTTGTGCAAAAACATCATCAATACTTCAGAAAATACATCTCGACATCAAACTGGCAGGGCCTTCTGTGTAAATGTAAAGAAACAGTAAAATAGTTAATCAGCTCTGAAGTGCAGGTTCCATGCAGTATGAATAGCACTCTGAACACATTAATGCAGTTTTATGTCATTTGCTTCATCTTGTTAATAACGTCAGAAATTACAACTGGAGCTCTGTGGTTAACCTCCTCTCCTCTGGTGTTTGAATCAGGCTGATGTTACTAATAAATCACAGAGCAGCGAGGGCATTCAGACTGTGTTCTTGACCAGAATTATGCTTTACAAACAGTTTTGAAGAGGGCACCCCACCCCCTTTGGTGCTGCACAACAAATAGTCACCTTGGTCCGTCTACATCCAAAAGGATTGATTGGTTCTACTTTATCTTTTGGTCATCTGTTAAAATATAAATATAGGTCAATATTTAAATATAAAAAATAAGGCAGGTTTCTGTTTTTTTTTTTTTAAATGTTGTTCCATCTTCCCAGTAGGATTTGTCAGCCTGCTGTGCATTTTTTTTTCACCGTCCACGAAGCCACATGTCGTGTTAGTGGTTCATATTCTAGCAAACCAGGCTGGGCTGCAGAGTGAAGACATCAGAGCAGCCTTCATCTCCTCCTCAAAGGGGATTGTACACCTGACAAGTTAAAAAGTGTCTGTGTGCAGCCTCGGGCAGCTCTATTCAGTTCATATGGCCTTGACATCAATAAGGTTGCCATGCTGGGCCCCTTGCCTCAGGGTCTTGATCCCTTGCAGCTTGCGGCCGTGAAGCGTGAAGCGAGACCAGGCCGCCAGCTGGAACAGGGCACAGGTGATAGGCACAAACACCAACATGTAGAAGCAGCCCAGGCGCAGAGGCGGAGTTCCTGAGCCAGCGGCAACATCAGGCACAGAAACCAGAGAGTCCTTTACAGGTTCCCTTTCAAAAATATCATAACCTGGGGAAGAGAAAAAAGTAGTTCCTTCAGTGCACACAAAACACAGATCAATTCAGACAATGAATGAATGGGTCTTTGTAAAGAGGCAAAACATTTTATATTATATGAATCCCACTACTACCCTTTTCATAAAATAAACATAGAAATTGTTAGTTAGATGAGAAGGTCAACACCACTGTCATGGCTGTATGCTGCATATGAAGCTACAGCCAGCTCTGTCCAAAAGTATCTGCCATCTTTCTGGAGAGAAAGTGAATAAGCATATTTCCAAAAACATCAAACTATTAGTTCAATTAAAACTGTATTTATTTATTTATTTTCTTGGCTGTTGGACCAGTTGCACTCTGGTGAAAATAAAATAATACTGCTACCAAAAACAGAAATAAGTTCACTCTGACTGTCCACGGATGGGGAAAACACACAATTTGTTCCTTATGGGTTTTCCTTCTCTCTTTTATAGCAGAGCCTGAAACAAAGTCCCACTCTAACATCATAAAAACATTTGATGAAATAAAACATTAACCTTACAGTGAAAACACAAGTGTGCCATTTCACACAGTATACGCTATATATTTAATGAGTACGGTTGTTGTTTAGGCTGACTATACTAACTATACTGATACAAATTTTATCAGGACATGTTGCGTAAGGATCTGGGTGGTTGAAGTGGTCCTGTTCAACTTGTTGTGCAAGTCACACTTTGATTCTGATCTTCACAACGGTTCTTTCAAAAGGTTTCAACAGTTAATATGTTAATTGAGAGACACTGATCATAGATAAGGGGGGAATTCTAGTATGCCTGTACCTGTGTAAACACACAGCAGCCAGGTGCCAATGAGAGGGGCGAATGTCTGGCCAGGTTTGGTCAACAAGGCAACCATCCCGAAGAGGAGCGCAGAGGCGGCCTGCTGACGCCGATTGACCACAAAGTCCTCGTCCACCAGATCGGAAACAACCAGTTTCAGCAGCTTGCACGTCCCCTCTGTAAACACCCGGTTACTGGGAGGAAGAGAAGTCAGGTTAATGTCTCCAGCCACAACAGTGTGGAGTCTTACAGCAGGAAATGTCAGCTGTTATTTTTTAATCTTCATTTTAAAGATGTTTTATAATGTGAACAGAAAAGGCAGAATTAATTGTTACAGGTTGTTTATGTTCAGTTCTACTTCAGAGTATTGCCATTAATTAAACGTGTGTCAATTATCATTCATGTCTATTTGTTTTTCTCTAAGGAGGGGAGTGGTTACAGTTTCTGACTGAATACAGCATCCTTAGGTGTGTCTGTGTTCTCAAAACCACATTATATTGTGTGTGAAATAAAGTCACAGCTCTATCACTTGTGGTTGATGTTATTGTATCGCCTCAGCCTGAAGGTTTGAGAGAAAGCACCAAAGGCATTCACACGCTGTTAACAACCACTGTGACTGTGACCAGTATGACTAACCACACACAGGGCCTGCCTGCGGAGCGCTTGAGACAGCCCTGGAGTCCTGTTGTTAACTATAAAAATATACTTGTTTGACATCAGTAATGGAATAAGGAGACTACCTGCCTAAATGAAACCCTGTTTTTATATTTCAGGGGCACAACATTCACATTAAAATGTGGGAAAATGTGCTGTACCAGTTACTTAAGTTTCTTTAAATATATTTGCACTTAATTTACCCAATATTGTTATTCAGTTTCTCTATATTCTAAATTAACTATTGTTATTTCTGTCAATTGTTTGTTTCCTTATCTGAATTGTGGGTCTATGGATAGAAGGTGTTGTGTGGCAAATCATTCTGGGCTACATAAATAAAGCACTTTTGCTCATTCTCACAGTGACAGAGACACAAACTGGTGAAACATTTACACTTTTCCAGGAAAAAAGAAAAGTTAGCACAATATTTGGATACGGCTTGTAACAAATATTGAGTTAACCTTGGATTCTTGTCCTTGATATGTTTTTCAGTGTTTGTATTCAGCTATGAAAATAATCAGAATTAACTTAAAGTATCTGAACATATACAAGAAATTTAACTGTATTTTAAACGATGAACTTCAAAAAACAAAGAAGCAAACAAAAGTACAAGCTGTCACACATCGGGTCCCTGAAGCGTGTGCTGATGTGTGTGCGTGGCCATACCTAGCAATGAAGATGCACAGCAGATAAATGTGGTCAGCCCCTGCCAGCAGCATAGCCACACTAAGTCCCAGTTTGAGCATAAATAGCCAGCGGATAACCTGGTAAACCCCATAACGCTGGCACAGTGTCAGGAAATACAAGTTGTTCAGGTGGGGGGCAATATAAGAGATGCCTGCGTGGGAGCAGAAGCAGAGCTGGATTAAAAAAATTATATATAAATCAGCAGAAAGAATAGTAATTGTAAAAGAAAAAAAAAAGATGAATGGTAAATTAATATGAAAAGAGAAATATATATTATATTATAGCCAGAATTAGATTGATCTCAAACAACAACAAATCCAACATCATTGCTGTGATTTCCTTAAACCTTCAGCCTAAATAGTGCAATGAAAGTTACTCCGGTATTCAATTCGTCTGTATTGCTATCTGCCTAGCTGTAGCACCTTCAAACAAGGATTTGAAACTTGAATGTGCGAGTTACTTCCTGTCTCTTACAGGAATCTTACCAAGTAAGATTGAACCCGTAGAGGCTGAAATATTGTCAGACAGGAGATGTTCCAGGAAAAGAGGGAAGAAGTTGCTGTTGAAATGGCAGTGAAATACCTGTAGAAGCAGAAACAACAATAGAATGTAACTGAGTAGATCGACTAAAAAAACTGATCACTCAAAGACTAAAGGCATACAGTATGCTGCAAATGAGCTACTGTATCACAGGATTTTCTAAAATACATCAATGAATTTTTTATCTTTCATTCTGGGATATATAAAACTGACATAACTATTTCTCTCCATATATTCAATCTCTGAGGTTATTTAAAGAAATAACTAAACTATAAGAACATATAAACATACATTTGAACTATTATGAGATTATTATTCTAGTTTAAACATTGGCTCAGTAGGGTCAACGTGAGTTTGACTTTTTACATGTTATTTTTAATACTTGTGCCGTATCTATGTAGTATGAGACTGCCATGATAACGAGCACAATATTAACTCTGTCCATAATAATCTAATTCTAATCTCTACTAGCACTCGTAGCACAAACAATGTGATTGGTATCTCACCTGGACAAGGTTCATTGACACAAACCACATGAAGTTCCTGTGTTTGGAGAGCTGCTTGAGGTACTGTTTAATGGTGACAGGTTTTTCCGGGTGGGTAAGTGGAGCATGGCCAACGCTCAGCCTGAGCAATGGAGACATCGAAAGGAGAGTGAGTGAGCTTAAGTGGAAAAACAACAACACATTCCAGATTTAAGATTTTTGGAAAACCCCTTACTCTTTGAGTGTCTGTGCCTCATCCTGTCTTAGAAGGAGTTCCTTTTGGAAACGATCCCGTAGCAACCGAGACACTAAAAAGAAGCCCAAGATGGAAAAAGCTGCCAGAGTCATACAGAAGAGACGGAACGAGTAGAAGTCCTCCTTGTCCCAGAAGGAGTACGACAGGAACACGGAGAATGAGCCCAGAGCGCTGAACACAGAGCAGTGGAAGTTGAGGCGCGTGCGATCGGCGGCGGACACGGCGAGGTCAGCCAGCAGGGCGCTGTGGTGGAGGTCCACCATAGTGAGGAAACCATCATACAGACACAGGCACAGCAAGAACTGCAGTCCTGGTCTGGCCCAGGCCACCCAGAAGGCCAGGAAGGACAGAGCGAAGAGAGGGCCATTTGTGGAGAGGGCCTTCAAGCGCTTCAGCACCACCTCTGGAGTTGTGATCGGAGAGCCTGACCTGGGTGGAAAAGCAGACAAAAATGAAAAGAAATCATCAGAAATGATATAAAAATGCAAGTTTTGTGATAGTTAAGCAACGTGAACAAAATGTTTTGACAGAGTAAAGGACAGACAAGGCTAACAGACCTATTTAAATACTCTCCAGCTATTTGACTCAGTTTTGTTGGCAGATGATTTATTAGGAGTCAGTTTATCATGGCTAGTGTTATACTGTATAAACACCCATCAGCGAAATTAAAGATGTCCCGGGGACAATAAAAATAGAACCTGGGACACAAAGACACAGTGTCTGAGACAACTCTGGGACAGTAGAGAAATGTATCATTACGAATGAAGCCATCACGTTTACGCGTCACAGAACACATATTTCATCTTAATTGTTAGGTGTTCAAATGTGAAAAATGTGCGGTGGCCCCGGCACGAGCGCTACGCTACGTCACACATGTGCTTACAAACACAAAAATAGTGTTTTCAATTTGCCAACTTCCTTGCTAGATTTGGCAACAGTTCAGTTAGTGACTATTTCTAAAAAGCATCAAGCGACTTATTCAGATTCATTCAATTCAGTTCTGCCAACTTCTCTCTCCCCTCTTGCTCCGTGTCAGTAGGTGTGGTGTGTGACCTTGTCCTTCACGCTTTCTTCCTCGGATCTCAGGATTAGGGTGTTCCTAATAGCTTCTATGTAAATAGTTTGTTATACTTTGCAAATATTTAAATAGTTTATTTGATCTTCTCCCTTCCTTTGTGGATTTAAAAAAAAAATAACCTTTTTACTTCAAACATGTGAAGTCCCTGCAGTGAGTTTGTGATTATTTGGCTAAATATAGTTTTTAAGTCTGTGTATGTAAAATCTCCACTGCTGTATACCAATCAGAAACAGGTTTACATTTGCAGTAGTGCATTTACTGATAAAGTAACAAGCTGCAGGACACTTTGAGCCTCGCAACTTATGTAAATACAGGATTGTCAAACACCATGAACGCTATAAAATATACTAAAACCATATAAAACCAATCAAAGGTGAAATTATGCTCGTCCCTGCTGTACAACACCAGGACACTCAGGTTTAAGGGTGTCGATATAACACAGAATAACGTGATCCAACTTAGTTACGTCACCACCTTATGACAAATAGGAAACGCAAACACAGATGGCAGCCTTTATGGTTGACAATTATCGCTCTGATGACGCGTTTCCCTCGCCTCATGAGCATTACTGCAGCTGATAAAAGAGTTTATGCTGAAACATTTGCGTGTGCGTATATATAAATGTGTTAAGAAGCTCTGAGATGTTGTTGTGCAATGTGAGCAGGAAGCACGGTGGTATAAATCTGCAGGCCGACCGGGAAGCCAGGATAGGTTTGAATGTAGAAGGAGAGTTGAGAATAAGATACAGTACGTGCCAAAATAGAAATATATTCTAGGGAAAAGTCACTCTGATGTGTTAAATGTGTGAAAAAATAACATGGGTAGAAAGTTGACATTCATGCTTTTTAATCATCAGTATCTTTCACAGTTGTCTGCTGGGCTGTGTTGATATAATTTACAGGAACTACATGATGTTGACATTTAAGTCTGTTATTTGCGTCTCTTCACAAGGAAAGGAGAAAGAGCCTTTTTGCTATAATTAACTTTTAAAAGAGGATGTGTAACTGGAAAAAAAAACTGTTCTTAGAACTAACCTAGTTTTTATTGTTTGTGTATCTCACATATCTTGAGATCGGCTAAAGCACAGGTTTCTGTATCTTCTAAAATCCTGGTCTTTTTCTTTGCTTGGGATGGCAATAAATAATGAAAACTTGCTAAGACAAAAAAAACAAACATTATAAACTAATAATCACTAATTATTCTTGTTGACCTGTCTTTTTTTAAGTCACATCCATCTTAAGGAAGCCTAATTTAAGAAGTTGTGGTAGGCATTTCTGTTTTTTGCAATGTTTTAACTGCATAACATTATTTACAACAGTGCTTGATGTCAATAAAAAAAAAAAGGAGAAAGATGACACTTACTGAGGAGAGCTGAGGAAGGAGCGATCACTCAGCCAGCCGAAGAGAGGGTCATTTAGACTGTTCCATATAAGGAACACGGTCTGTGGAGCGGCAGATAAGAAAACAATAATGGTTTTTTAAAAAAAAAATCAATAAATCAAGGATAATGGTGGTTTATCGCTAAGCTAGAACATGATATCTGACCGGAAGATCAGGTTACCATGATGTTTTTTTTCTGCAGGGCTCAGCCTTATTACATTTTCTTCAGCATAAATCATTTTAAACGTAGAAAACTGAGGCTAAACATTGCAGGACTGACATGCAACATTTAAAGCCGCTGCTGACACACAGTGACACTGAACTCGTAAACTGGTGCTATATGTCAAGCCTGGACTACAAAATTTAGATCACGTGTTTAACCGACGCGGCCACAGAGCCAGGCCTCTTGTCACTCACCTCTCCCACCCAGAAGGAGACTTTATCGATCTTGTAGATGGACACAAACGTCTCCACGTAGTAAAGGAGGAACACATTGTGGAGGATGGAGGTAAACAAGGCCAGAGAGCCGTAGAGCACTGCGGTGGAGACGACGCCTTGCCAGCAGCCCCAGACGCTCCTGCCCATTCTTCTTTCTCAATCACTCTGCTCCGTCTTTCCTCTGTGCCAAGCTGCAATCATCTCACGGCCTGGCCGACCCAGGGTCACCACCTCATCATAGCCTGTGAAAACACAACGCACTCAGTCTCGACGGGAACACTAATAAGTTGTTTTGAGATCAGCAGACAAAAGGGGAATAAAAGCATTGAGCACTCTACATCTGAATAAGCTTAAGATATTAATGAGCATTACTGGAAGTTTCTGCGACCTCGTGGGGCAACACATAATAATATGAAATGCTTCTGTCTCTGCACGCAGTTGGAGAACACCGAAAGAGAGCTATTTCCATAGCAATGGTAAAGTAACTACTCATTAAAGTTAGCTAGGCTGTGGGCCACTTTCTCCTCTGACCCACGCCCAGCTGTGGTGTGTGTGTGTGTGTGTGTGTGTGTGTGTGTGTGTGTGAGAGAAACTGTAATTTTCCTCAGTTATTTTTATGACCACTCCTCTAACACACCACCACACTGCGCCGGTGTCCCCCATAAAAAGCTGAAACGACAAAAAGGAAAGTCACACGATACTCAGTCATTCTTTCATTGTGCTCTTTTTTTTTTTATTATTGTCCTTTAATGAATGTGACACACTATACAATCCACACCTACTGGAAACGCTCGAGGGCACAATAACACCTCGGCTCGAACCGCGTGCCTCCCTGTGACAGTTTCATGCGAATTACCGTCTTTTGTCAAACAAAATGAGTTCCCCACAACGAATGCAAATCCTGCATCCGTTCAGTTTAACTTCCCCCTTTGAAAGCTCTGCTGCAGTTTAACACGTAGCACCCTCGGGGAAAGAATTCACTTAAGACACCAGCAGGCATATTCCTTCACACCTGACTCCCACAAGCTCTGACTCGCCCTGAATATAAACAGTCTCTGTATCCTCGGTGGGGGAAAGCTACGTAATAACAGTGTCTCAGGGCGACGTGATGCTTTCTTTCTGTGTCAAACACAATGTAGTGTCTGTGCAACGCAGCAGAACCGCAACTTCATAACAGGATCCGAGGGAGATAGCCAAACTTGGCCGTGGAGAGCAACAAAAAGACTTTCCAACCCGCTTCCTATCAGATCTTCTCTCAGCCGGCTGCACCGTATCACATCTCTGACACGTATCTTACTCGATCAGACGTGGTCTACTTGGGAACAGGCAACAGAGCGAGACGTGGATCTACAAACAGCCGATTCATGTCCTCTCAGCCGTCGCAGATTGGGAGCTGTTTCCACCTGGGGAGAGGTCTCTTGGCAGGAAATATACATACGATGAATTAACCTGAACAGGACAAAAAGGGGGCACCAATCATCCCATTCATCACTTAGATAGATAGATAGATAGATTATTAATCCCTGAAGGGAAATTGGGTCATCAAAGCAGCCAGGTACATTAAAATACAACAGAATAAAATACAAAAATAGAATAAAACACTTAGATAGAAAAGATAGAAAACAAGATAAATAGGTAGGTAAGGTGCAAAGAGTTGTAGTTGCACTTGTTGCACCCATTTAGATTGTACATGTGGTTGATAATATCGAAGAATCAACAATGTGTGTGAAGGAAAATGTGAATCAGGAAGGAAAAACATCCAAACTCTACCAGTGTTAGTGAGCAGGGTTAATAAACCGCCTCAGATAACACATGTACAACATGTAAGCATCGATAAAAACCTACAAACAATCCATGAGATTAACAAAAAAAGGGGGAATCCGTTAAATTAACAGGTGTGGCCTGAGTGTCTTTAAAAAAAACAAGAAATAATCAACAAACTATTTAGTTTCATTTTCTAAACGTTATGGTGTAGGGTTAAACAAGCCGCTCTAGCTGCTTTAGGCAGCTCATTAACACACGTATTTTGGACTAATATTACTCTCAACTTCAGCCTTTAAGGCTTTCTGCCTACCCCACACACCACGTGGTTGGGTGCAGTCTGCTTCCAACAGCAGCTGCGAAAAGATCGGATAAAATATCATAGTTGGATCATAGGTTAACTACCCTTCGTATGGGTTAGCACCAGCTAGCGTTTAAGTGGCTTTGCTTGCTGCGTTTACAGGCCAGGATAAACAAACATCTTACTTCAAGTGTATTAACGATAAAGACGCGTTACGTACGACAGAAAGGCCGTTTCTCCGCGGTCAATAAAAGGCGTGGGTCTTGAGTCGGTGAGGAGCTAACTTTTGGAGAGGTTGCTGTGTCAGTCCGCGGTGTGTCGGATCACCGCGGCGAGAGGCAGGACAGACGGACGGACCACGTCGTGACAGCCGCCGGAGGAGCGGTCGATAAACAGACCGGCCCAACCAAGGAGCAGCAGCGGTGCTGCACAGTCTGGCCGTTCAAACAGGCTGCATTGGCCAGTCAGGTCAGTGGTCTACGACCGGAGCGGGTTTGTTACCATACTAACAAGACTATTTTCTTTATTTGCGGGAATTTTACGAGAATAAGTCATGAATATTTACGCAGGAATAAAGTAATAAACGAAGAATAAAGTCATAATATTACGGAGAATAAAGTCGTAAGTTACTAGAATAAGTAATAATACAAGATAAAGTAATAATACAAGAAATAAAGTAACTAATACGAGAAATAAAAGTAATAAAACGAGAATAAAGGTTCGTAGATAATCATGATAATTAAAGTCGGTAATGTTACGAGAAATAAAGTCTATCATAATATTACAAAGAATGAAGTCGTAATGTTACGGGGAGGAATAAAGTAATAATTACGAAAATAAAGCTAATAATTTACGAGAATAAAAGTAATAATTTACGAGAATAAAGTAATAAAACGAGAAATAAAGTCGTAAGTACTAGAATAAAGTTAATAATACAAGAATAAAGGAATAATACAAGGAATAAAGGTAATAAATACGGAGAATAAAAGTAATAAAACGAGAATAAGTCGTTAATAATATGAAATAAAATGTAATAAAACAAGAATAAAGTCATAATATTACAAGATAAAGTCGTAATGTTACGAGAATAAAGTAAAATAATACAAGAATAAAAGTAATAATACGAGAATAAAAGTCGTAATAATACGAGAATAAAGTCGTAATAATATGAGAATAAAGTCGTAATGTTACAAGAATAAAGTAATAAACCGAGAATAAAGTCATAATATTACAAGAATGAAGTCGGAATGTTATGAGAATAAAGTCATAATATTACGAGAATAAAGTAATAAAACGAGAATAAAGTCATAATATTACAAGAATAAAGTCGGAATGTTATGAGAATAAAGTCATAATATTACAAGAATAAAGTCGGAATATTATGAGAATAAAGTCATAATATTACAAGAATAAAGTCGGAATGTTACGAGAATAAAGTAATAATACGAGAATAAAGTAATAATACGAGAATAAAGTCGTAATAATATGAGAATAAAGTCGTAATGTTACGAGAATAAAGTCGTAACATTACGAGAATAAAGTCGTTAAAGATTTGAATGTAGATATTATTATGTTTTACAGAAAAAAACATTATTGTTCCAGACAGACTTTTTTAAAATATATATTTCTTAATACATGACTGAACGAGATCTTTAACTAAAACTGTTAACAGCTGAAGAGTTGAGATGCTTTAACCTCCATTAAATCCCTGTTTAGCAGGATGATGGCGCCCCCTTGTGTTTGTGCATCAGTTTTCACATTTCAGTTGTTAACCTGCTGGAAAAACTTCCCTGAGTCTTTGGCAGCTTCAAACATACACAGAGTTACATTAAAATTGATATTAAAATATTTTCATCAACAAAAGATCATGATGTGTTGGAATCAAAGTAGTCTGAACATCTTGGACATCAAATCCTTTTGGGATTTATTCCCATGTGAGTGGATGCAGCAGTATATATATATATAAATATATTTATTTACAGACATGGCTGTTATAGACAAATAACCATGAAGAGCTGCCTGCATGACACTAAGGATCAGTTTTAAGTCACAAAATAAGGAACAAAATCAGGCACACATCCTTTGCAGAAAGAAAGAAGCATTTGAAGCTGCTAGCTTTTTGCAAAGATATGATATTAAATACTATATATATGTCTATGTTACCTCACAGCAAGAAGGTCCTGTATGTGACACGTGTAATCTAGACCACTGCCCTAAAACATCTATGTCATCAATGCTATAAACAGGTGAATTTCTATGGAAGAGGGAAATGAAAAATATCTTGAATTGTTGTCTTTCTATGTCTTCTCCAGCAGGGGTCAGCCACAAGGCACAGATCACATTGATACTCATCAGACAGAATCAATGCTAATAAAGTGTTATTTCAGGCAATAATAATAATAATAATAATAATAATAATAATAACATACCTATACTATATGTATTATATGTGTATATGTAGAATATGCTTTAGTTATATTTATATGCGGACTTCATGGTTTTCTGTACTTAACACTGAAATATATTATTGTATTTATTAGGTTTTCCCATCTATTAAGTGCTATTTTAAAAAAGAGAGTCTTATTGAGTGTCCAGGAAAGGATAGGCAGCAATAACTTACAGACATTAAAAACACAAAAAATAGCCTGTCCTTATAACCTATAATTTTAAATACCAGGACACAACTGAAAGGTATTCTTCTAAAAAAAACAAAACTCAACGTTTATGTATCAAAACACCAGCAAGCTATATGAGGAAACTGTCTGGTCATAAGATAAGGCAGTTCAGCTTATATAGGCTATGGATCCTGTGTGTGTGTGTGTGTGTGTGTGTGTGCGGCGGGGTGGGGGGGACTCGCTGGTTGTGTGTGAGCATTGGGTAACTGCAGCAGCAGCAGAACAGCTCGGTGTTTTGCCGCGGAAAGGACGATTCAGAGGATTTTTGTGGACTCCAGGAAACAAGCAGGTGAGTCCGCCTCTGCCGCTTTTTATGCATACTATTCGATACTGTGCGTAAATGTGTTTCTTCCACTTTTCCTACACACACACACACACACACACACACACTATACATTCATCTGCACTCAGGTGAAGGTGGTTAAAGAGTGTGCGGGGCTGTTTTCCCCTGTCCGTGCTGCAGTACAGGTCGGACAGGTGCACATTGGTGGCTGTTTACACGTCCATAGCGCACTCGTTACGCACGATAAAAGGTTGTTTTTAATGCATCCCATATTGGTGGAAGTTAAGTGTAGCGATGCATTACTCTGAGGGGTTATGTGCCGAAGTGTTAGGACGGTGCTGAAGCCACTCATTCTTACGGCATTGTGCTCAAAGTCAGAGGTATGGCAGTAAAATAGGTTGCCATATGTTTCTTATCTGTCTTTAAGATGCGTTCCCTGTCTGTACTTCTGAAAGGAGGAGAAGGGGATGTAAGTATGGTGAGACAAAGACGAGTGGAAAGAGAGGGAGGGAGTCTGTATCTGAGCAGTTTTTGTAGTAAAATTTAAACTTAATCATCAAAACTTCTAAAATCGAGGTGTAGCTTTGCTTAAAAAATGTGATAAATGATCCATCAAATCATAAGTAGGCTACTTTGTAATAAGTAACCCTTTCTAAAGGGTTTAAAAGCTGTTACTACTGGCTTTATTAATACATAATTAGTGCTTAATATATCAGATATGATCCATTCATAGCTTTTATAGCGTTTCGGGCTGCCAGGTTGGGAACAATCCCTCTGGGTGTTGAGCAGTGGTGGAAGAAGGATCCAGATCGTTTAGTTAAAGTGGAAATAATGTAGAGGCAAAAGTCTTGTATTCAAAATCTTACTTGAGTAAAAGTACAAAAGTATTATCAGCAAAATGTGCTTAAAATATCAAATGTGAAGGTGCTTGTTATGCACAATGGACCCTTTGAGAATGGTGTAATATATATTATTGGATTACCACTGATTCATTAATGTGTTAACAGTATAGTGGTAGGTCGAGGTTGAGCTATTTCTAATCTCTTTATATGCTTTCAGATAGTTTAATCTATAGCAATCAGCATAAGTTGATGTGTCTTATATGTAAAAGCTTCATTTTAAAAGTAACTAGTCACCATACGTTCAGATAAATGTGTAAAAAAAAGTACAGTATTTCTCTCTCACATATAGTGGAGTGTAAAGAAGCATAAAATACAAAAATACTCAAAAAAGTAAATGTAATTTGTTATTTGGTAGTTATTAATAATGGGCCCAGATTTTCTCACCTCCAATAATGGATCGGCAAAAGTTAGTATGTCACCTGCAACTGCTGTAAAAATGTTAGTAAGTCAGTCATAAATGGCTCTGAGTGATCCATCAAGTCTGCAGCTGTAAATTTTAATAAGTTGCTCATAAATTACTTGTTGTTCTGAAGCCCCGCAGCCCATTTTGCAGAAGGTCAGAGATCAAACTGGCCATTGTCTTCATGATGAATTAAAGAGCTATCTAAAATGACAAAGCAAAGAGAGAGAGAGAGAGCCACAACCTGGCAACCCGAGAGATCTTCAGTTGTTTACTGATAAAGCCATTCTGTAACACATCTTTAAACCATAAAAGGGGGAAGAGATGACAACATTTACACATTAGAATATGTGACAAATAAACAGCACATGTGCAGATTAGATTATACTGTAAAGTACACAGGCTAAAGAGAGCTATTTTTTCTAAACCTTTATAGAATGGAGAAGAACGTATGACTTTTTGGATAATTCCTCCGATTTTCAAATCAAAACGAGTGTTATTTCATCAAAAAATGTTGACAGATCTGAAAAAAGAAATGGCTCTGGTAAGTGCTCCATCTTATGATTCGACCTCAGAAAAAACAAAGATGGTGAGATGATCTGTCATCACATAATATGTCGAAGATGAATTTAATAACAGTGCATGCTCACAGCAGAAGAAAAGCCTTTTTGAATCCCCTTGAGCCCAGTAAATCATTATTCTTGTTTTTGATCTGATCTGAGAACAAGTCTTCCATGAATTCTACATGTTTCTTTGTATGAAGAGGCATTATTCGCAACACAATCATAATTTCATGCTTCTTTGAGAAGATTTATCTTAAGATTTCTCCACATGGCCCCCAGGGTGAACCCACTCATTCTTCCTTTAATGTGCGAATAATCTCATTTATGGTTCTGCTCTATTCCGACTCCCAGTGGTTTGGAATAAAGGTAGAAAAAAAGGAGAAAATATCATGTTCAAGTATAGCATATAGATTACATAATACCCAAAGTATATTCATTCATTCTTTGCCGGTTGATGGCACAAACATAAACAAAATCATGGCATTAGTGTGGCATTTTAAGTATCAGTTTAAAGGAAAGACAAGAATAGCTCACCTGTTTTATTCATTCAGCCTAGGTTTTTTGCAAATAATATTTTCAAGCCTGATATGCTCATAAAGAAAACTACTTTATCATACTCTGCAAACTCTTTCATACTCTGTAGGCACGTAATGACTTCATTTCAGGAAGTTTGATGAGCACCAGAGGGCAGAGGCCGTCACTAAAATTAAGCCAAAATGTCCCAGTAGATCTGCTGCGAGCCCAGCTCTATGGATCAATACACAGGAAGAAACTGATAAAAGGTGTTTCAGACGCTGCCCGCTGTTTTGTTCGATTCCTCTCTTCTCCCATCATGCATGACACATCGGTCGTGCCACCGCCAAGGCAGATGTGTTTACCTTTCCCCTCCTGGAGTGTCCAAGCTTTTGTCAGTGTGGCAACACCACGTTGTCAACATGCTTGCCGGCTCCCGTAGAACAGTGTACACAATGCAGATGCGGAGGTGTTGAAACAATGGTGTGTGTTTGCTGTGTGTTACATGAGGGCACCAGCTGACAAAACCACATTAAAGGGCTACACACCAGCATGCTCGCTTGTCAGGTTGATCTGCTGTCCTCTATTTTGCCGTAGTTTTGGCAGACAGCGGTTTTTGGAAGCACTGTCAAAGTTTTGCTCTGTTTCTCCCTTCAGTTGCAATGTTAAAGGGGAATTCTTGGGGAGTACCACTGCTTACAGGAAAAGAAAGTTATTGTATTTATCATTTTGTGGCTCCAGACAGCACAAAATATAATAAATTGACTCAAGTGATGTCACTAGAGTCAGCGTCGGTTAGGGTTGAAGATTTAAAGTTTGAAAAAGTAAAATCTGGGGGTGTAGAGCTTACCAGACCTCTGTAGCCCGTTCCTTATCTCTGCTTGAGGTTAGTGGCTTGTGGGTGCCACTACTAGCATAACACCACTGAATCTCTGAACCAACTGTTGGCGGTTGAGTTGAATTGTGGGTAGTGTAAGCACAAGGTTTTGACAATAAGTTTAAAGGAGTGTCACACAATTATACAAGTGCAATGCTAAATCGGTGGAGTATTCCTTTAAGACTGCCTTTATGTGGTGCAACCTTGTGATGGAGATTCTCATCAATCATGTGACATTGTAGTTGATTGTCATTGTCATATGTATTGATGGGTGTAACTACTACTGATGGCAACAGATCTGAAGTCACTAAAGCTTTGTTTTGGAGATAAGGGCTTTTTTTGGAAGTGGGGAAAGGATGAAAGTCTGGGTCGCCACTGTGCTGAAGAAATTCTTTCTCATAAAAGAAATTAGTTTGATAGGAATTTATTTTTGTGTAATCACACAGAATATCTTTGAGCCAGAAGCATGATCTCGTTCTTGGTGGATCAGCTGTTCTCAGCACTGTTAGAAGAAATTCAAATGCTTGCAATTCAAACTGAAACTCTTTCTGTTAATGGTCATGCGTGATGGATTTCTGCTACATTTACAGTTTCTGGTTACACCATTTGAGTGTGTTCATTCTTGGGAATGGGCCTTGGGAAAAGACATTTAACAAAATAATATTAACTCAAGGTTAACAGCACCAGACAAAGCTAGTAGACTCCTCACTTACTGTATGTTGTAATGCCAAGATGACAGACTTGACTGTGACTTCAGATCGCCATAACTTTAACTTAGTTGAGTGAAAATCAAGAATCAGGCTTGAAACATAACAGACTCTTCAGTATGAGTTAGGTAACAGGTTTTTTTGAAGCAAAAGCATGGATTACATTAGGTTAAGCCAGCCATAAGAAATAGTTCTGGATAAACGCAAGGTGAGGAGATCCCAGCACCATCACTAACTCTTTCCCCTCTCCCTTCTCACTTTGTCGTCTTATAGGTCGGTTTCAAACCTTAGCACCCAAACTGCTAACAGAGAGGTCATTAGCTTCATTGTGTTTCATGCTGCGAGTGATTAGCAGCAGCCGGCGTGTGGATTATGATGGGAATTCTCCAGTGTCGCAAAGCAGCGGAGCGGGATTCACAGTGTTGACCCTTTGATCAGTGACAGAGCCAGAGAACGGGCAGCCAGGCGGAGATTGTGCTGATGGAACGGGGCCTAATCTCTAGATTATCCGTCATGCTGCTCCAGTGTGCACACAGCTAATTAAGAGATGGAGTTGTGTGTTGCAAGATCGCATCACAGGGGCACATTATTTAACTCCCAAAACTTTTTAGATGGGTCTTTTATGTAACAGCATCTTACTCATTCACTTTGGCTAATTGGTTGTAATCAGAGAGTGATGATGCATACCAGCAAGAAATGTTCTGCTCATGCTGTCAAGTAGGCAAGTTCATAGACACTATCTCCTCAGCAAAGTTCATCACACCCATCGTGGATGTTTTGAAATATCATTAGTGTTTCTGTTTAACATTAAGGACATTAATTTAAAGTACTGATACAACAATGTTAACAATATTATAAGCAAAATGTTTTGCTATACAATTTTTTGGGGCTTCTTAATCTATGAATCTAGTGCATTTCTAAGTTTAATATTTCCCTTTAAATGTTTGAAATTCTAAGTAACCCACTGGTTAATGTTGCATACAGTAGTTTGTGGGAAGCAACTTGGACAGACAATGCCTCCAATCTGCCCTTAATGAAAACATAGTTATGCAGATTATATTTCATTTTTACCAATAGATCCTCCAAATGTTACACACTGGACCTTTAAATAAAGGATCTGAGTTCTTCCTCCACCACTCAGTTTGAATATTACCAATACGTTCAGTACTTCCCCTCAAGTGCTGTATAGTGTTTGTTCTGCAAATATTCATGTTGTTTTTAATGTATCTCTCTGAATTCCAGTTCCAGACTTAAGACAACAGCATGTAGTTTGGTATGCTGGATCATTTCTCTGTTAGTTATACACATTGTTTTTGTCTTTCTCTGCACAGAGTGTGTTCTCAGCTGGAGGATAATCAAAGTGTCTGACTAGCTTGCTGCTGGGCCTAAAGATATTTTCTCAATTCTCACACTTAGATTTTGTGTTCTACAAATTGAGTGCAATCGAGGCTGTGCCTGGACCCAGGTCTGTGAGTTAAACATGGGAGACCAGAGATCAGTCCAGCCCCTCCTGCACCTGCTGCTGCTCCTGTTGCTCCTCGGCAGGATGTCACAACTGTGGGCTTTCCCCTTCAGCCCGTCCCTGGACCTGGATGTCACTCCCAGGACTACTATCTTCTCCAAAGGTGAGGGGCAAAAATAATTTTTCATATATCAGAGGTGAAAGAGAAATGTGCATGGCAGTGTTCTAAAAAGATTAGACACAAATTAAACGAAAATACAGGAAAATATAAATAATTATATATTTTTTTGAGCTCTCTAAGCTAATGTGTCTTTCAGGGTTGCCGAGCTCCCTGTAGCACCCACATACACCGATGACCCATAACATTATGACCCATACTCTCAGCCCTATACTCAACAAACTGCAATGCAGTGTGTGTTCTGACTCCTTTCTATCAAAACCAGCATTAACTTTGTCAGCAATTTGAGCTACAGTAGCTCGTCTGATGGATCGGACCACACGGGTCAGCCTCCACTCCCCATATGCATTAATGAGCCTCGGCCGCCCATGACCTTGTCTCCGGTTCACTGCTTTACCTTCCTTGGAGCACTTTTGATAGGTACTGACCACTGCATACCAGGAACACCCCACAAGAGATTGGTATATAGGTTTCCGTAATGTAGTGGTTATCACATTTGCCTAACACGCAAAAGGTCCCCGGTTCGAAATCGGGTGGAAGCATGTTTTTATGTGGCCGGTTAGAGTGTGGTGCTAATAACGCCAAGGTCGCGGGTTCGATCCCCGTACGGGCCAATACATATTTGGGGCGGCAGTAGCTCAGTGTGTAGGGACTTGGCTTGGGAACCGGAGGGTCGCTGGTTCAAATCCCACAGACC